GTCTCAGAAAAAAAAAAAAGAAAAGAAAAAGAAAAAAAAAATGTAAATTTCTTAAAAAAAAAAAAAAAAGAGAGAATGCTTTTCTAGGATCTACTATTTCTCAAGTGTCTTTAGCTCCAAGTAATCCTCATGCCAATATGGCAAATTTGGGGAGATCCTATTGACCCCCCTTCTCCATCAGCTGCTGAATGTATAACAAACTGTGGTATATTCATACAATCGAATATCGCTCAGCCATAAAAAGGGATGAGGTACCCATTCATGCCACAACTTGGATGTATGCTGGCCGGGTGAGGGTGGCTCATGCCTGCAATCTTAGCACTTTGGGAGGCCAAGGTGGGAGGATTATTTGAGCCCAGGAGTTTAAGACCAGCCTGGGCAACACAGTGAGGCCCCATCTCTACGAAAAGTGTAGAAAACTTTTGTTCATACACACCTGTAATCCCAGCTGCTCAGGAGGCTGAGGTGGGAAGACCGCTTAGCCCCGGAGCTCAAGGCTGCACAGAGCCGTGATGGAGCCACTGCACTCCAGTGCTGGGTCTGTCCTGTAGACCCTGGCCGACGGATGAAATGAGTCCTCAGACGCAGGTATGCAGTGTCAGAGCAGCAGGGTGTCTGCCTGACTCTAGCGGCCAGAGAGCAGCCCCGAGAAGCTGGAGCTGCTTGCTTTTATTCAGTGCAGGCACAATGCCGAAAACCTGGAGCAAACGCAACCTGTAGGTAATTCGCATTTACTGTTCCCCTTTCAGGGAATCTCGAGCTCAGATGATCAAAGGTCAGTTCCTGGTCTATATAAGTAAGCAAGGCTGTTTGAGATAAATTCCCCTACACTCCCTTGTACCTACTCCTTGCCCCTGCCTCAAGGTTATAGAACAGCTGCGTTCAGCTTTTCTCCCCTGCAGTTCTGCAAAACCTTCCGCCCTTTCAGAAGGTTTGCATCGGCCAGGTGCGGTGGCTCACACCTGTAATCCTGACACTTTGGGAGGCCGAGGTGGGTGGATCACGAGGTCAGGAGTTCAAAACCAGCCTGGCCAACATGGTAAAACCTCGTCTCTACTAAAAGCACAAAAATTATCTGGCCATGGTGGCGGGTGCCTGTAATCCCAGCTACTCGGGAGGCTGAGGCAGGAGAATGGCTTGAATCTGGGAGGCGGAGGTTGCAGTGAGCCGAGATCGCGCCATTGTACTCCAGCCTGGGCAACAAGAGCAAAACTCCGTCTCAAAAAAAAAAAAAAAAAAAGTAAGCACCATAAAACAATAAGTAAATAAAATAAAATTCTGAAAAATTGCAAACATACAATAGTTGCAAATACAGCACCATTTGAGTAAGTTGCCAATATGAAGCCCCATGAGCTCTGAATACTCTAATGGGAATTCTCTATTAAGTAGGACTATTGGCCGGGCGTGGTGGCTCACGCCTGTAACCCAAGCACTTTGGAGGCCAAGGCAGGCAGATCACCTGAGGTTAGGAGTTCACGACCAGCCTGACCAACATGGTGAAACCCCGTCTTTACAAAAAAAAAAAAAAGACAAAAAAAAAAAGTGGGACTATTGTCAGCACCCATCACTATCAGAAAGTCAACACGGAGTCCCCGCTGCCATCATCAGGTCTTCAGACCCCATTTGAGCTGTGCCAGGGGTTCCAATCACGTCCCTTGCAGCAGAGCACCCGCTTCAGAAACCACAGAGTTCGGTTATCATGTCTCTTTGCTTC